AGCGCCCCGCCGCCCGAGAGCATCAACTCGAGGCTGCCAAAGTTCTGGGGCATGGCCCTTAGTGGGTTTAGGGGTTTAGAGTTTAAGGTTTAGGGTTTAGGGTTTAGGGTTTAGGATGGTTTAGGGGTTTCGGGGTTTAGGGGTTTGGGGAGTGTGTGTTTGGGGTATCCGGACATGCGTGAGTTCCTGGCAGGAGGTTGAAGCGTACAAGAAAGGCGGACACAGGCGCGTGTTGGGACGGGCATCCTCTGGCCCTACCCATAGGCCCTAAAGTAGTTCCTTTTTGGGATTCCCTAATAGGATTCTAAATATGAACCCCAAAAAGGAACTACTTCAGGGCCTATGGGTACAAACACTTGTGATGACTTGGTCGCTTCCAGGTTCTTCCAGATTGCGGTGATGTCATACTTCTTGTTTCAGTTCACTCTCGTGGGCATCCCAGCGCAGTGTGACGTGCTCCTATAGGCTGAGCTGCGACGGCCTTCGCCGGGATCACATTTTAGAGGACCCGCATGGCGAAATCCAGAAGGCCAGTTAACTATGAGGAAGCGGTGGGGCTCCTTTGTAGAACAGCTTCAGGTGTTTGCGGCCGTGTTTTTCGTGAACAAAGTGGCCCAGCCAGAGACTGAGACGGATTCGGGTCGACTTCATGGTGCTGTCATGCATTCTTCCAACCGAGGTGGTGACCTTGGTCTTGGCAGTTTCGGAGACGTGGAGCGGCGCAGCTCGAAAACGAGACGTGCTAAGTGCGTCACGGATCCTTGCGTAGAACTTCCGATTCCGATTCCAAGGAGACATCAAAGGTCCCACTCCAATTGCAAACCCTAAACCCTAAACCCCCTTAACCCTAAACCCAAAGCTTGCCAGGTGCCGGGTCTGGTGGGAGCCTCGCCGAGACGCTGACAGCAGCTTGCGGGAGCCACCCCGCCTTCCGCCCCTCGGAAGCATTCATGGGAGCTCAATGTGTTGTTCCATGGCCCTAATTCCACATGGGTCTAGTTAAGAGTTCTTAAGTTTTTAGTCCCCGAGTTCCCGATTTACCCGAGGCCGCGCCGGCGGTCGAGACGGCAGGTGCTCCGATGTTGGACGTTTTGCAGTTGAAGTTGTAGCGGTGGCCGAGTGAAGTCAGCTCGGTTAGCCAGACTCTGTTCTCAGGTGGTGAGTAGACGGAGTCGAAGGAGTAGGAATAGGCGGAGGAGGAGAAGGAGAAAGAGGAGGGAGGAGCAGCAGGAGCAGGAGCAGTAGCAGTAGTCGCAGTAGGCAGCAGCATGACAAGGAGGAGGAGCAACGGTGTGGTCGGCAGCGGCAGCTTCTGCACAAATCAGAGCAAGGAAGCAACAAGCTAGTCTTGCGATTTCTGAGTGTCACTCTGCCATTGCTTTCCAGCCACCTCTTCGGTGTGAAGCACTTCGCGGGAGAAGTTTTCTACGAGGCCGGACCGTATCTGCGCTCACGTTCTGCTCTCGTACATGGTGTAAGGGGTCATCATACCCTGAACCCTAAACCCGAAAGCCCTCAAGCCCTAAACCCTTGAGCCCTCAAGTCCTAAATCCTCAAACCCAAAGCCCTTAGCCCCTAAAGCCCTAAAGCCTTGAAACCACCCAAAACCCTAAAGCCCTGAACCCCTAAACGATCAAACCCCAAGCCCTAAACCCCTAAAGCCCTAAAACTCTAAAACTCTGTAGCCCTCAAGCCCTGAACCCCTAAAACCCTAAAGCCTTAAAACTCGAAAACCCTGAAGCCCTACAGCCCTAAACCCTAAAACCCAAAAGCCCTAAACCCCAAACCATAGACCCTAAAACCCTAAAGCCCTAAACCATAGACCCTAAAGCCCTAAACCCTAAACCCGAGACCCTAAAACCCTAAACCCTACAACCCCAAAGCCCTGAACCCTAAATCGTAGACCCTGAAACCCTAAAGCCCTAAACCTTAAACCATAGACCCTAAAGCCCTAAAAAGCTCATGGGATGTGCCGGTGCAGGCCGCGCAGTTTGTTCGCAAGAACGCCAGCGCCCACCGTCCGGACATCTGCACCTTCCTGAGGCTCCGACCAGGGACTCCTGTCCCCTTATCATGGTTTAGGGTTTAGGGTTTAGGGTTTAGGGTTTAGGGTTTAGGGTTTAGGGATAAGTCTACGGTTGAACCCATGGGCCCCTAGTATGGGCCCTTAACCCTGGGATCCTTATATAGCTACTATATACCCTATATTTACCCTTAAGGGACCCTAGAATCCCCTAAGGGCCCATGTTAGGGGCACATGGGTTCAACCTTAGA